TTGTAATATTGTACGGGAATCAATACAGAATTATTGGTCAGATAATAAAAATTCACCTGTCTCTCCCACAATAATGTGGGATGCAGCCAAGGCCACAATTCGGGGATATATTATTTCTTATACTGCTGCGCATAAGAAAGCTCTCATAGCTAAACGACAAGATTTGGAAAAAGAGGTCAAAAGACTTGAACATCTACATAGCAGTAACCCCACTCAATCAAACTGGTCTACTTTATGTCATGCTAGGGCTAAACTTAACCTTGATCACACTAATCATATAAAAAAACAAATTTTTCTTTCCAAACAGAATTATTATGAGAATGCAAACAAACCTGGCCGATTGTTAGCATATCAGATTAAAAAGGAACAATCAGAACGAACAATCAAGTCCCTAAAGATGTCAAATGGTACCTCTACATATGACTCTGCCATTATAAATAATACATTCCGATCCTACTATGAATCACTCTATAGCTCACAAGGCAGTGCTTCACAACTACAAATTCAAACTTTTTTCAATAATATTTCTCTTCCAATTATTTCAGATAAAGATAGAGATTATCTTAATTCGCCTATAACTCCAGAAGAGGTCCTAGCTGCGATACAATCAATGTCATCCAACAAATCGCCAGGACCTGACGGTTTCCCCTCAGAATTTTATAAATCATTCTGGCCCGAACTTTCTAACATTTTAGTTCCAGCATTACAAAATATCTTAGATCAAGGCACGATTCCTGAAACTTGGAAAACAGCAAACATCTGTGTAATAATTAAGAAAGATAAAGATCCCCAAGATTGTGCATCATATAGGCCAATTAGTCTACTTAATACAGATTCTAAAATACTAGCAAAGGTTTTGGCATGTAGATTAGAGAGTATGCTCCCCAAGTTAATAAAGCCAGACCAAACAGGCTTCATAAAATCACGTTATGGAACAGATAATATACGCAGACTCTTAAATGTTATTAATTTTGTCCAAGGTGAGGGACACCCAGCACTTGTTCTCTCCCTTGACGCCGATAAAGCTTTTGACAGAGTCGAGTGGGACTTCTTATTTGCGACTCTTAATAAATTTAATCTGGGAAATAATTTTATTAAGTGGATCCAGTTGCTTTACTCTGATCCTAAAGCAACAGTAGTTACAAATGGTCTCACTTCGACTCCATTTCGCATAGGAAGAGGGACGAGGCAGGGCTGTCCTCTTTCACCTTTGCTTTTTGCTTTAGTAATCGAACCCCTAGCAGAACTCATCAGACAAAACAGAAATTTCCACGGTATTTTAATAGGAGGGGAAGATCATCGTACCTCACTTTATGCAGATGATGTGCTCATATTTATGTCTAAACCAGAGCAGTCTATTCCAACATTGCTGGAATGCATCTCACACTACAGTAGTTTATCTGGTTACAGAATAAATCTTTCCAAATCCATAGCTTTACCCTTAAACACCCCTTCTTTGGAACATTTAAAATTAATCTCCCCATTCAAATTATCAGAAACTGGCTTTAGATATCTAGGAATCCATGTCACATCTTCACTTAAAGATCTTATTAAACATAATTATACACCTCTTATAGAAAAACTCAAACCTAATCTGAAAGCATGGTGTTCACTCCCAATCTCATTTCTAGGAAGAATAAATGTAATAAAAATGAATGTACTTCCTAAATTCTTATATTTATTCCAGTCCATACCTAGCTACTTAGCAAATTCATTTTTCAAAGATCTTAATAAAAACATCTCAAAGTTTATCTGGAACAATAAAAGACCGCGTATTAAAATTTCTAAATTAATGAAGCCTAAAGACAGGGGTGGAATAGGCTTACCAAATCTCCAGTTGTATTATTGGGCTGCCCAAATAAAAAACATGATTAGCTGGTGTAATGAGAGGACTAACTCTAGTTGGTTTAAAATGGAAGAAACAGCTTGCTCCCCTTTACCAATTAAATATTTACCATTTGTTAAGAATTATATAAAACTAAAAAAGATTTCTGAACATTTTATCATATCAAATACTCTTAGAACTTGGAAAGATGTAAAGACACATATGGGAATCTCCAGCCCTTTCTCCCTGTTCTCCCCACTTTCTTTTAATCCTGATATGCCTTTAACATTGCAAAACACTGTTTTTTCAGCATGGCGGGAACTGGGCATCTCTCAAATATCTTGCTTACTTTCAGAAGGCACCATAAAATCTTTCCAACAGATTGTAGATCAATATAACGTTCCAAAATCCAATTTTTATAAATATCTACAATTACGACATTTTTTAAAACCAAAGTTGGACAAAGGAGAGCTCAGATCCAAAACAACAGAGATCGAATACCTTTTACTGAATTCAGCTTGTTTAAAAGGATTGATAACAAGGATTTATGACACTTTGTCTAACAATTGCACTTCTGCCTGGTTAGGACTTAAAGATGTTTGGGAGAAGGATATTGGTCAAACTATTGAAGAAAATGACTGGGAAATTGTATGTGATAATATATACCCGAAGTGTACATCTCTTGGGATCCATGAGCTTAATTTTAAATTTTTTAACAGGATCTACTTAACTCCAATACGTATTAAGAAAATGTTTGCCAATGCCACAGACCTGTGTTTCAAATGTAAAAAAGATAAAGGTACATTCATTCATAGTTTTTGGGACTGTGGCAAAATTTTGCCATTTTGGAAGAAAATACATAAAGTACTGGAAAATATTCTTAAGCTAAATTTTGACATGACCCCAGCTTTGTACTTATTGAATCTTAATGCAAATAATCTGTTTGAAAAAGATGCATTCCAGTTATTTATTGTATTGGTATATTTAGCTAAAAAATGTATTTTGCTACTCTGGTCTGCATCACAAGCTCCATCTTTTAAAATGTGGATATCACAGATTGCTACATGGCTACCATTAGAAAAACTTACCTATGACAAACATAAAAAATCTGATAGATTTTGGTCAATTTGGTCTCCCCTTTGGGAGTACATAAAAGAGCTCTCTTAAATTAACACAACATCCTTGACATTCATTTACATTTTTTGTTATAACCTACTCTAAGATGATGTAATTGTACTTTTAATTATTTTTCACCTATATATTTTATTTTTTTATTTTTTACATTAATTTCTCTTTTACTTTCACTCTCAAGACTGTACATTCTCTTTATGCTACAACATTTTGATGTTAATGTTTTGTGAATATGGGCATACAATAAAAAAAAAAAAAAAAAAAAAAAAAATCAGCCAATCTGAGAGTAATAGAGCAAATTAAACCAAAAATGATGACAAACATTACAAACATTATTACACTCAAACCACAGTGTAATAATCAAGTTTTAAAACCATAAATTTTCTCAATTAGGAAGCTGAAATTTATCAATAACCAATTAAATATTTTAAGACAGACCTGTTAATAAAGTTGCCAAAGCCATTATTCATTTAAATATATATATTTTTACCTTTTTAATAATCGTGTTTAACAGCTGAATTTAAGTTAAAAAAAAAGTACACAATACAATTATTTTTTTAAAATCCACCAATCAGAAAGTGAAATTGAGCAAACTGAACAAAAAATCTTTATCTTTAGCTCCGCTCATTCACTTGAACCACAATGAATAACATAAATGATTGATTCATGCTATGCTGTCTTAAAACGTATATATACTATAAATATATAAATAAAAATCTATAGAAAAAAATTATTGTAGTTGGAAGGGCATCCACTGCATGAAATCTATGCCCGAATAGTTGGCGGTTCATTCCACTGTGGCTACCCCTGATAAACAAGGGACTAAGTCGAAGTAAAATTAATGAATGAATGAGAAAAAATGTGGAATATATACAGTGAAAGTTAATATTATTAGCCCCCTTGTTTATTTTTCCCACCAATTTCTGTTTAACACATAATAGTTTTATTAACTCATTTCTAATAACTGATTTATTTTATCTTTGCCATGATGTTAGTAAATAATATTTGACTAGATATTTTTCAAGACACTTCTATACAACTTAAAGTGACATTTAAAGGCTTCACTAGGTTAATTAGGATAACTAGGCAGGTTAGAGTAATTAGGCAAGTTATTGTGTAATGATGGTTTGTTCTGTAGACTATCAGAAAAAAAAACTGAAAGAGGCTAAAAATTTTAACCTTAAAATGGGTTTTACAAAATTAAAAAGTGCTTTTATTCTAGCTAAAATAAAACAAATAAGACTAAAAAGACTAATAATACATATTATCAGACATACTGTGAAACTTTCCCTGCTCTGTTAAGCATAATTTTGGAAATATTTAAAAAAGAAAACAAAATGAATAGGGGGGCTAATAATTCTGACTTGAACTGTGTGTATATAAAAATACAGCTTCTATAGATAAAGTAGCCATTTATAATGATTTCTTCAGGAGAATCTAGTTCTGTTAAGAGTCTTATGTTTGTTCTTCTCTTTCAGATTATGGCCAATGCTAAAGATGCAGTGACAGGAGCCAAGGAGGCTGTCAGCGGGACTGTGAGCGGTGCCAAGGATTCTGTCTCCTTCACCCTAAATGATGTGATGGACCGAACACGCGGGGCAGTGCAGGGCAGCGTGGAGAAGACCAAGACTGTGGTCAGCGGTGGAGTCCAGACAGTGATGGACAGCAGGATGCTCAAACTGGTGTCCAGCAGAGTGGACAATGCACTGAGCACATCTGAGACGCTGCTGGAGCACTACTTGCCTGAAAATGAGGAGGAAAAAGGTGAGCACCTCATTTACTATTAGTTTCATATCAGTTTACTGTGTTCTATCTGATGTGTGGCTGCTTTCAATGCAAAAACTTTATACTTTGACTCACAAACACTGTAGCCGAAACCTAGAAGACTTTGGTTTATTGTTTAGTTTAGTTTTTGGCTTAATTTGCTGTTTACTGTTTAAGTTTATGTGTTTAAAGTAAATACACTGCAAAAAATGCTTGGTTCCACACAACTGATTTGTGGTGGGACAACATGAAGGAATTAATTTATTAGTTTTTACAAATTTAAGTGGATTAAACCTAAAAGTTGTAGTGTTTGAGCTCATTTTAAATAAGTAGTTTTTAACAAATAGCAAACATCATTTTTTGAGTGTTGGCGTTTTCTTTCTGACATGCTGTAAGCAGTAGAAAAGTCAGAGCAGGCTGGGAAACCTGAACAAATCAAATCAAAGCAAAGCAAAGCAGGTTGTTAGAAAGCAGCAGTGTTGTCAGATATAGCTGACTTTTTTCAGCCCAAAAGCTGTTCAAAACCCACCCAAACGCAAAAAAAAAACCACCCAAAATATTAGATTAATATTTTATTTACTCATTCATTTATTCATTTTCTTTGCGGCTTAATCCCTTTATTAATCCAGGGTTGCCACAGCGAAATGAACCACCAACTTATCCTGCACGTTTTTTACAAAGTGGATGCCTTTCCAGCCGCAACCTATCTCTGGGAAAATATTTTATTTAATTTTATTTAACTTAGTTACTTTAATTGTTATAACTTTTAACCAACTTGCAGTTAAAACCAGCAGTCACAGAACTACAACATAACTGGATCACGTCAAAACACAGCCCCCTCTTGCCCACACACTGCATTTAATGTTGTGTAGATTACACTACCTATTAGAGTATGTTTAACTTTCGAAATGGGGTATAAATTTGTCTTATTTGGCGTTTTAAATTCTTTTGAACATTGGTGCTGCTTGTCAATTAAACAATATTTCTATGATCATTCTTGCTGTCAATTTCAGAAAAAAATTCTCAATAAAAATGTCACAATAAACCGCAGTGAGTTTAACTGGAGGCGCTGAGTGATGCATGCGAAGGGGAGTCAGATTTGTCCAGGGAGTCGGATTTTGATACAAATTTCCTTCCCCTCCTCTTGCGGGTGCGCCCACGCGGTTTGTGCTATGCACTGGTCACTACTAAGTGAATGGAGTAGGAGCACACAGTTATGTTTTGTTAAATAAGTTGCATGTAAAATCTTGACCTCAGATGGATGTAATCACATGAGACCTTCAAAACTAATTTTGAAACCTTAAATACTGCATAAAAAGGCAGTTTAAATGGATAGTTCACCTAAAAAGGACAATTCTATCATCATTTACTCAGCTTTTACTTGTTGCAAATCTTTTTGAATTGGTTGAACACAAAAGTAGTAATTTTGAAGAATGTTGGAAACCTGTAGCCATTGTTTTTCCTACTATTGAAGTCAATAGTAAAAGGTTTCAGATTTTTTCAAAATATCGTCTTTTGTGTTCAAAACAACAAAGAAACCCTTTTTATTATGAATGAATCGTCATTTTTGGGTGAATTATTCATTTAGAATGCACTACTGTAAGTTTAAATAGCCTCATTTGTTTATTTTATATATTACAATTGTACAGTAAGTTAAAATTTTGAAAATAATTTTTTTTAAATAAATATTACTAAAGTACTAATTATTATTTATTACAAATTCTGAATTATTAAAGCTTAAAATCATTACACAATTATTGCAATTGTTGAGTTTGCATGTTTTTTTTTTTATTTTTTATTTTTTTATTGAATTTAACAGGGACAATGCTCATTAATAAACAGTAAAACTGTAAATAAGCCAGAGTCAACCACAAGGGCTAATTTTCATCTGTTGCCCCCTGCCAGATTTTAAAAGGCAACCTAAAATAAAAAAACACATCATCACACACATACAAAAACAGTTACATATGACAAAGGGATAAAACATGTAATAAGAATTTCTGCCTGCGTTCGCGTGGGTTTCCTCCGTGTGCTCCGGTTTCCCCCATAGTCCAAAGACATGTGGTACAGGTGAATTGGGTTGGCTAAATTGCCCGTAGTGTATGTATGTGTGCGAATGAGTGTGTGAGTTCCCAGTGATGGGTTGCAGCTGAAAGGGCATCCGCTGCGTAAAACACATGCTGGATAAGTTGGCGGTTCATTCCGCTGTGGTGACCCCTGATGAATAAAGGGACTTATCTGAAGGAATATAAATAAATAGCTGACCCCCCCCCCCCCCCCAAAAGCTACATCTCTGCCAACACAATGACATGTTTCTATGTTTTGAAAAATATATCTTGATGAATGACTTTCAGTATATGGAAATTTGTTTCAATTTTTTTTAAAGATTGACTAAATTTCAACACAATTAAAAAATAATAATAAATCATCCATAAATACCTCTTGCACTCCATGAACTGCATATGTACATTTCAGGTTCGTGTCTTGTGATAGTCTTGTGATATGCTTCTCAGGAGACATGGCTTTCTAACTAATTAACAAGAGCATCCATACTATATGCTCTGTTATGTGTGTCAAATAGTGCTGGGAATTACTTCATGTCCCTGGAAAAAGAAAATTAATCCCATTTATGTGCAGAACATCCGACTTGTTCACGTCTCAAAGAGATTGTTGACCAGAAATCTGAAATTACTCTCATTTCCTGAGCCTCACTAATCTCGCAAATGGAGATCTAACCAATCTCAACAAATGTTCCTTTGTCCCGTTTCTCTCTCAGAAGGTGAAGAGAGGAATACTGAAGGATTGGAAAATGACAGCGATTTGGCCAATTATTATGTCCGACTGGGCTCTCTGTCCATTAAAGTCAGAGACAGGACTTATCAGAGAGCCGTGGAGAAAGTTCGTCATGCCGTGCAGCGCGGACAGGAGTCCATTTCACAGCTTAACCACACAATGGATATAGTAGGTTGATCTTTAGATGAACTCACAGAGGTATACAGTAATGTAATCAAATTTCTAGCAAGTCATTTTATTGCTTTTGTTTTTAGATCGAATTTACCAGGAAGAATATTGATGGGTCTAACCAGAAGCTGCAGGAGAAACTGGGTTCACTAATGGGCTGGAAGAGCGTTTCTCAAAGCCAAGAAACAGAGAGCGAAACAGACAGTGAAGCTGAGGTATCAGAGATATTAATACTTTTTAGCAATATATTCAGCAAATTGATGATGATTTATTGCTTTTCACTTGAGACATTTTTGTCTTTTAATGTACACAGAGAAGGCTTTAACTTGGTATACATTATTGTGACAGAAATATATTAAAACTGCTGATGAAATTCTAAAGCGAAAAAAAAAGATTAATAATTAAAACTTAAAGTAATTACATTATTGGTTTCCTGCGTTTTAATTTTAATAGAAATAAAACTAATTTAATGAGAAAAAAGCAAAGAAATAAAATATAGGGAAGTGTTTCTCGACCACGTTCCTGGAGGACCACCATGTTTCATGTTTTGAATGTCTCATTTGTCTGTCACAGCCATTACAGCTCTTTCAGTCTCTGCTTATGAGCTGATGATCTGATTCTGGTGTGTTTGTTTAAGAAGAGACGGTAAATGTGTAGAGCAGGTGGTCCTTCAGAAACATGGTTGAGAACCACTGTTATATGGGAGATTCTACCAGAAAAGTAAATTTTCCCTAATAGAAAATGTGACAGGGCCTAATTTAAGCTTGTCCTCTGAAAAAAATCATACAAAAACAAGCATAAAATCATACAATTTAAAGATAGAACGCATCCTTGATCACTGTCAGCTTCTACTGTCATATAGCCTTAAAGGTTTATTGCATGCTTTTTATGTTGAATTTAATGCAAATGTGACAGGAGTGACCAAACACATAGAGACAGTTGTAAAATAGTCTTTCATTTGTAGAATTTATTTATAATTAAATTTTTTTAATCAATTGATGTAAATGATAACTACTTAAACTTGCTATTTCTGATGTATTTTTTTCTTTAAATAACAGTTTTTAGCATAACAAAACTATTAAAGATGTGGGTTTAATTGGACTGAGGATAAGAACAGAGTTTGTACATTTGTTAAGTGTTTTTATAAAAATAAAAAAAAATCTGAGAATCAGATAAATGACATATTCCTTTACAAATCAGCTCACAGAAATTAACCTTCAGTCCATTTTAGACATTTTCTAGCACGAAATACTTTTTATTCACTGTATTTATACTTTTATTTCGAGGACAGATAATGTTTGTTTCTGGTAGAATGTCCCATAGGGTACATTAAAGAGCCCATATTATACATGAAATAGGGTCATATCTTGGTTGTAAGGGTCTCCAACAACAGTCTAATATGCATGCAAGGTCAAAAAACACTTTCATGGTCTTATAATCTGCATTTATTTTTACCTAATTATCCCAGCGACTCCTGTATGAATCGTCCAGTGATTCATTTGTTCCCAAACCCCTCCTTAGCGCGGAGCTAATCTGCGCTGATTGGACCGATGACAGTCTGTCGCGATTGGTCGACTGCCTTCAGTCAGAGAATGAAATGGCCGATAGCTAATCAGCAATTTAAAAAGTAATCACAGTTCATACACGCTCCATAGTGTAGGCGTGGATTTTAGCTGCCACACACACACAAAAACACACACACACCTCCGGACGACAACGCTCCCGCTTCCGCCCACACCCGCCAGGTTTTAGCCTGAGAACCCGCTCCGTTTTCTGCCCGCCGCGCCCGATCCCGCTAGAGCGGAGGAGAACACAACCAAAAGTCACCCAGCTATACAGTCCAGACAGCCAAGATGTCTGTATAAAAACACAAAAAGCTCGCTCTCGCTCTCTCTCTCATACGCGCGCGTGCGCACTAACACACACACACAAGCAGACTCTCTCTTTCTCATTCGCATAGCAATATCCGTGATATTGCTAGACAGCCCGCTCCCGTCCCAAATTAAACCTGTTACCGACCGCTCCCGCGATTTATTCGGAAATTTATTCCCGCGCCGCAGAAATCTGGCGCGGGGACAGCCGCGGGAATGCAGAACTCTACCACGGAGCTCCGTCAACAAAGCAGCACGCGTCGCGTTTTTAACGTGACTTTGCACGCGATGAGAGAATATATCCAGTTAACCTGATACAGTACACGCGGTTACAAGTAACAAATCACAACTAAATACATTTGCAAGCTAGAGTCAACGAGGCAACAACTTTAACCGCACGTACTTACACTTGAGAAAGGTAGGAAGAAACCCATCCTGACGTCAATCAGTTACTCTTTACTGATCCTTCCTTTAACAAACTCAGATGAAGTATTCTTTGTAGCATGTAGCTTCCAGAAGTTTCCAACTGCTTGGTTATAATGCTGATGTTTCATCTTTGGGTAGAGACTCGATATAATATCCATCTGCAGTGTGACTTCAATCGACCGGCATGTTTGTGTGTATGTGTTTGTGGGTGTGTGTGTGTGTGTGTCTGGGTTTCTGCGTCAGAGGGCGGGGCCTCAGGTTTGAAATCTCCCGGGTTTGCGCGTGCACGTGAAAAACTTGGTTTCGTTCGTACGTCATGGCAAAACACCTAATGAGTCGGTATCAAGGCGACTCGTTTGAAGCACTATGAGTCGACTCTTTTATAGATGAATCAACCGTTTTAAACACTGTATTCTTACAGATTTAAGCCTTAGCTGAATACTTCACTACACTTAGAGCTGTGTTACACACTACATGGAGGGGAATTTTCAAAAACCCATAATATGGGCTCTTTAAATAATTTTTTAAAACTGATTTTGTAACATGATTTCAGTTAATAGGTGTAGCTTTCTGGTTATAATAATGAGTTTTAAGCATAATAATAATATCAAAAATAGAAGAACGTAGTTTGAGAGATTTGAAAAAAAAAATGTAGAGTTTGAAAAAAAAAAAAAAGTAAACTGTTTTGGAATTAAAAACAATTGTTACTCCAAAGACATTTTAAATCACAATATCCATTTTTGGGATTAAAATTTTAGAAAAGATTTACTATAATCATAATATTTATAAATATTATATGTAATAAAGGTAATATAATGCGCAAATTCACACTGTTGTTGACACATTAAATATTACAAAAGATTATACTGATTTTGGTCTTATTATTATTACTATAAATAATTTAAAACGTAAATAAAATGTAAAGTAACTCGTAATATACACTATTGTCAAATAAAATCTATTTATTTTACAGTTACTTTCCCTCATTTTAGAATCCGTCTTAATTTTGATGAGCTGCTGTCAAATAAAAATATGTTTGTGACTGTTCTGTACAATAGTGTACACCCATCTTTAATTTGAAAGGGGTAGGTCACTCAAAAAGGAAATATCGGTCATCAATTTCTCAACTTTTACTTGTTTCATCTTTTGTCGAACAGAAAAGAAGATATTTTGAAAAATGCTGAAAACCTGTAACCAATGACTTCTATAGTATTTGTTTTTCTTACCATTGAAGTCGATGTCTTCACATTTTTACCTTTTTTCATAATATACATATTTTTTGTTTAACCAAATAAGGATGTTTCCCAGTGATGGGTTGCAGCTGTAAGGGCATCCGCTATGTAAAACATATACCAGATCGGTTGATGGTTCATTCCGCTGTGGTGACCCCTGATTAATAAAGGGACTAAGTTAAAAAGAAAATGAGTCAATCAATCAAAAAAGAAAACTCACAAATGTTTAAAACTACTTAAAAGTCAGTGATTAAAGATATTTTATAATTTTTTTAAATTGTTTCTTATTTTAAAACTTCCACGGCTCTTAGAATGCCAGTCGAAGCACTCAAGCGAATTTTCATTGCCGACCTAATGGTTTGTTTTGGGTCAGTTTTGAATTTCCACATAACCAGCTAAAAGCCTTGTTTACCAGCGTGTAATGTGAAGCGGGGTACAGACAACGGAGTTCAGATCCAAACACAGGGTTTATTAGCAGGATGGTCACGCAAGCAATGGTCAACACAGGGGCAAACAGATGTACACAGGAAATCCAGAGTCATAATAACAGGCAGATGGTCAGTACAGGCAAGCAGCAAGCAACGTAAATGAACAAACAAGGCGAGGGTCAAAAACACAGCAAGACAAGGCAAGGAAAACCCGTCATAATGTTTACACTTCAGTATAACAAGACCCAGCCCAGATGTGTGTGTGAGGGCTCTCCTTATAGGACATGTAATCAATTCATGAGCAGCTTCAGCTGTGAGTGTTTGCAATCAGACAGGACCTAGGCCAGGTGTGCAAGTGGTGCGTGACTGGATCTTGTAGTTCTTTTGCTGGTAGATTTGTAGCGAACTGTGTGTTTACCAACGATCTGCACAGGCTGGATCACTGGTGAACATGACAGAGGGAGAGGCTGGTTCGACCCAGATCCTAAATATAATTTTTTGCATAATCTATCCCCTTAATAATTTCTACAGTAGTGAATCTATCACTCGAATGAATCAGTCAAATATGTTTCTTCGTTTTTTCCTCTCAGCAAATTGAGTCGCGCACACTGACCATCGCCCACAGCCTCAGCCAGCAGCTTCAGAGCACATGTGTGGTGCTGGTGTCCAGTCTCAGGGGTCTCCCTCAGCACGTCCAGCTCCAGGTGGGCTCCGTCAGCCGCTCCGCATTGGAGATCTACAGCAGCTTCAGTAAAGCGGCCGTGCTGGGGGATCTGTCCAGCACCGTCCTGTCCTCCAGCCGCTCACAGCTCAGCAGAATCACAGAGTCCATGGACAACGTGATGGACTACCTGCTCAACAACACTCCTCTCAACTGGCTGGTCGGACCGTTTTACCCACGTGTGGAGCGCGCCGTTGAAAACGAGGCCAAATGTAGCAAACAGAGGACCCTTCAAGTCACTGAATGAAGCTTAATCGAATATTAAAATCCTGTCATTATTGAGTCACCTGATTTGTTTTCTGAACACAAAAGACGTTATTTTAATAATGTTGTAAACCGGTAGACATTGACCTCCATTTTGTTTCCCTACACACAAAGTCATGACAGCAAATGTTTCTATGTTCCTTTAACTTATCTTAATACGTTAATCAAGTTGTGACACAGTGGCTCAGTGGTTAGCACTGTCGCCTTACAGCAAGAAGGTCACTGATTTGAGTCCAGGCTGGGTCAGTTGGCATTTCTGTGTGGGGTTTGCATATTCTCCCCATGTTGGCATGGGTTTCCTCCAGGTGTTCTGGTTTCACCCCACAGTTCAAAGACATGTGCTTATGGTGAATTGAATAAGCTAAATTAGTCGTAGTGTATGAGTAAATGTGAGAGTGTATGGGTGTTTCTCAGTGATGGGTTGCAGCTGGAAAGGTATTCGCTGCGCAAAACATATGCTGTAATAGTTAGCGGTTCGTTCCTCTGTGGTGACCTCTTATGAATAAAGGGACTAAGCCGAAGGAAAATGAATGAATAAGTGAATCAGGTTTCAACTCATTTTTTAAGTCATGCAAAGCTTAACTTAATATTTTTAGTCAGTCTGACTGATGTAAGTTGAAATGACGACACTGTAAAAAAAGGATTATTTACTTTACTTAGAAAAGTGAGTAAACCCATTGCTTTAAAAGCGACAAGTTGACTTCACTTAAAAAGTGAGTAAACCAGTTTCGACTTATAATTGATAAGTTCAACTAACTTAATTTTTTTAATTACGCACATAGTTCATTTACTTAAACATTTTAAGTCAACGTTTTTAAAGTAATGTCAACTAATTATTTTTAAATCAACAGGTTTACTCACTTATTTCATTGTTTACAGTGTTGAAAAGTTCATTTTATTCAACTCAATTTAAAACAACCTATTTTGCAGCGGCAAAAAAGGGACTTTAGCTGGTTGTCCATGCTACTTATTTAAAATGAGCTGAAAGAAAATGCAATTCTTGAGTTTTAGGAGGGCAACTTAACTTTTTATGTTTCCTCCACGTAAAATTGTAAAAACTAATAAGCTAACACTTTCATGTTGCCCTAACACAAAATCGATTGTGTGGAACGCAGCATTTATGACAGTGAGTGTACTATGGAAGTCAATGGTCACCTGTTTCCAGCATTATTCAAAATATCTTTTTTTGTGTTGAATAGAAAAATGGAGAGTAACTTAAGATGTTTTGGTGACCTGTGCCTTTAATCATTCCTTTCTTTTTACAATCACACATTCCTGTCAGTAAAAATATTCTTTACATTGAAAACATTGATATTTTCTGTGGCAAGAATCATGTTCTTTGCTGCAACATTTGGATATGCCTGACGCTTTTGGATGTACGTAATAGCTTGTGCACACTATATTCAATATGCTGTCTTTATATTGGTTTTGTACATTTCTAATAAAATAATATTATTACATTATTTATTTTTGTTGTGTGTGTTGCTTTCATGGGGCCACACGGTGGCTCAATGGTTAGCGCTGTCTTCTCACAGCAAAGTCATGTCCCAGCTGGGTCAGTTGGCATTCTTGTGTGGAGTTTGCATGTTCTCCCCATGTTCCTATTTCCTACAGGTGCTCTGGTTTCCCCCACAGTTTAAAGACATGCACGATAGGTGAATTGAATAAACTAAACTGGCCTTAGTGTGTAAATGAGAGTGTATGGGTGTTTCCCAGTGATGAGTTGCAGCTGGATGGGCATCTGACAAAAAAATATATATGCTGGAAAATTTGGCGGTTCATTCCACTCTGGTGATCCCTAATTAATAAAGGGACTAAGCCGAAAAGAAAATGAATGAATGAATGTTTTCACCTTGATAGCAGTATGTCCTTTTCATGTCTGATTGGTGTCCTTGGTTCTGATAATCTGGTAGTGGTGGAGAAAAAAATTGGCTGAATGAAAAAAAAAATGGGTGAAAGAAAAAAATGGGTGGGAGGAAAATATATATTTCTAAGTTTTTGCGTTCTCTCGCAAAGTTGTTTTGCGTTCCCTCGCAAAGATGTTTTGTGTTATCTCGCAAAGATGTTTTGCGTTATCTCGCAAATAAACACTTTCTGTTCAAAACAACACTTCCTCTTTCTTCATTTTAGGGTCCTTGCGTTTACGATGGACGGCTTCATAGAGCTTTATTTTGAACTTGGGCTTAAGAATAAAGAGATATGCTCAATGCTTAATTCAAGGCCCGGTTTTGATATAAGTGAAAGACACTTGAAAAGGATATTGCGTGAAAAAGGACTGTTTAGCCGGAAGCTTTAGCTGTTCTTGTTGATTTCATCCAAAATCAGCTGCAATTCTCTGGGCAACTTCATGGGTACCGATGGATGTACACGAAATGTAGAGAAAATGGTCTACGTGTGAGAAAAGAAGACGTGCGCTTAGTGCTGAAGGAACTGGACCTTGCAGGTGTTTCAATGAGGAGAGCAAGACGGCTCAGGAGGCGCAACTACTTTGCTATAGGGACCAAACTTTATATGGCATTTGGACTCATACGATAAACTGAAACCATATGGCGTTTGTATAAATGGCTGTATTGATGGGTTTTCGCGTAAGATTATTTGGCTGTGATCCAAAGCTTATTGGAGCATATTATATGGAAGCATGGAGCGTTTGGGAGGATGCTCTAGAGTTGTAAGGGGGGATCTTGGGACTGAAAATGGTCCCGTTAGAGACTTTCAACATTTTCTCTATGGGTGCTTTCACACCTACACTTTTGTTTCGGAAACTGTCTCGTTTGCCCAGTTAGCGCGGTTCGTTTGGCATATGTGAACAGGGCAATCGCGCTCTGTTCCAAGCCAAAGAAATCGCTCCGAGATCGCTTGAATGAGGTGGTCTCAGCTCGATTGAAATGAACCCTGGAGCGGTTCAATTGCAGTGAGAAAGCTATCCGATCCAAGCGCGGTTATATCACAGTGTTTTATGGATATGTAATAGGCATACGGCTATATGAAGAGAGAATTATGAGTAGGACTGGAAGTTTCGCAAGTCTCTGGATGCCCGCAAATGAGTGATGATCTCCCGGTAATCTCACGTCTCCCTCCCGGTCCTCAAATACGCATCGTCGCGCACCCTTCTCACCCCTTCCCACTGCATCTCTCCTCAGACATGTCGCGCGCGCTTACCCTGTCAATCACCACTAAACCACCACCTCTTCTGACAGCTTAGCGGGACGCTGCAAAATAAACCCTGACACTCTGACCAATGTAAGGAGAGTTTACTCGCACGTGACTTGTTTTAGCTCTTTTGGTCCGATTAGAAACTTTGCAGTGTGAAAGCGAACCGCTCCAAGAGCAACAATGTAACATTTGTAATCTCTGTTTCGGAACAACTGAATCGATTCACAGGTGTGAAAGCACCCTTAGATTAGATTGTACGTTAGATCAACAACCCAGACTGAATTTATAGCACCAGGTTAAACTTTCTGACCCCTTTATGGTAATCAAATTGAAAATAAACACAGGCCACAACTGACCATTGAGGATGATCTCCGAAATTAAACCAATAGACTTGTCCTGAAAACATGCTGTCCACCGGTCTCGTTGAGGTTGGGTTATTAATATTGAATTAAACAAATGAATAAATGATTATATAAACTATAGCCCATGATTGTTAAGACTGTTGCACTTTTTGTGTTGGCAATATGCTCATGCTTATATAGGCCTATTGTTATGTGTGCATGCAACATTTGTATATTTATAACCACCTCTGAGAAATGTCGGGGTCACAATGGTTTTAAGAGAAGACTTAAAAAGTCATACATTTGAAATAGTGACTGACACCTGCAGAAACCATGGTTGTGATGTTCCATTCCACTATAGATTCCATTCCACTATAGACATGGTTACATCAAAACGCGTATTAAATATTAAGCCAAAAATATACAACCGAATTATGTATACGCTACAACTAGTTTTATAAAATGATATGTGCAAATAAAAATACACACTTTTGTCTTTGCAGACCTTTCATCTTTGCATTAACTCGTGTTGTATTACAGTTTTTTCAGTCGCTTTGGTAAACTTGTCAGATTTAAAATTTGCTAAGCAGTAAGTGCATTTCTCAAAAAAGCACATACAAATAGCCAAACAGCATGGATTACCTGCAAAAGCCAGTCTCTTGCTTAAAGTCCTTGGTTCATCTCTCAATGAACATGTCAGTGCCGTCAGAATGACAAGTCCTTGTGTCATTGTGTACGGATAAGACAGTCAAATTACTTACTCATGTTGTCAATGTAACAGTGTACTCTGGATGGATGTTCTCATGTAAGCTACGGCTAATTTATTTCATTTTTTTGCGGTTTGTACTGTGATTTGTTGCCAGATCATGTCATCGTGATACAGAAAGGAAAAGACAGCACTCCATAGGACCAAAAAAAAAACCCAAAACAAAAGTGAAAATGTGAACATAGGACAATCTCCTTTCAGATACGCCTCACCTTCATTAGACAAAGTCCAGATTGACCTGGGAGCAATTTACCAATTATAGATTTAGAAAAAAAACGTCTAATGGAAATGTACAGAAAAATGCATTATGACTGAATATTATGACAACTTGTTCAACTTCTTTTATATATAATATATAACTTGACATTCACTTTTTTTCTCACACCCCACTGGTCATTTTTACGAGACAAAATTTTGTTGTTGAAAACTGTAAATTTGACTTTTGCATGCAATAAGTACTAGAGTAAGAGACATTTTACTCGATTTGGGTCATTAAAATAACTCTGACTAGTACCATTATTAGGATATAGGTAGCCTATATCTGCTGTAGTAACTTAAAACCTACAGTAGTTTGACATAAAACCAAAACAATAGCCAATCTTGTCTTAGGAAATTTTTATTAAGCAATTTTTTGAATAACAGTAAGTTCATGACATGTTAAATATATAGTATATTCTGCTGGTTTTAAACATACATAATAATAATAGTAAATACAGTCACGTAACAACCATAACATTACCATTATGTCTTAGGACATC